GGTCTGTGACCCGTGGGGGGTCGGGGGCAGCCACAGCTTCTCTGGGCAACCTGTGCCAGTGCCTCACCACCCTCACAGTAAAGAATTTCTTCCTAGTATCTGATCTAAATCTACCCTCTTTCAGTTTAGAACTATTCCTCCTTGTGCTTATCACTACATGTCCTTATAGAAAGTCCCTCTCCAGATTTCTTGCAGGCCCCCCTTAGATACTGGCCCCCAGCTTTAGATACTGGAAAGCTGCACTAAGGTTTCCCTGGAGGCTTCTCCAGGCAGAACAAACCCAACACTCTCAGCCTGTCCTCATAGGAGAGGTACTCCAGCCCCTGATCTGCATAGCCTACTCTGGACTCGATCCAACAGGTCCATGACCTTCTTATGCTGGGGGCCACAGATCTGAATGCAGTCAGCTACAGTTCTTTCATGAATCAAAAGACAGGAACTTTTGATTCATGTTAATGAAAAAGGTGTCTGTTACAGGAGTAACTGCAGTAGTGAACTGGTACTCTGGACTAAGCCACTCTGTGACTCTCTTCCGAAGTTCCTCATTCAGCAGCAGGAGGATCAAGGCCTGTCCCCCAACTAAAAAAGTGACTAGCAGCATAAGATGGAGGCTGCTTAATTTGACCTTGGATTCACCTTTCTTGGAGCCTTGGAAATTACATCTAGTCTTAGTAGGGTTTGTGCATTGAGCTCAGGATGTCTGGTTGGGCCAGTATGTGTTGGGAGGGGGGTTGTGGCATGAGTGTGTTTTCCATCACTGTGCAAGCTGGTGACTTAAAATCTGTACGTGGGGAGAACTTCACTAAAGGTTGTGAGGAGGAGAAGCCTTTTGGAATAATGAATGGAATTGGTTGTAGGCGGAGAGCCTGAGTTCTGTCTGGGAGAGTAATAAGCAATAAGGACAGGAGGCTGCTGGACCTCACCTGACTTTTCAGTGCTGTGCATTCCTCATCTCAGACTCTATCTGGTCCCACGAGCTCCTGCAAGTGCTCCCTTTAATAAAAAGGAATTCCTCTTCTTGCAGCCTAAGCTAACTCTGTGGGTTTATTTATTCACTGATTTATTTAATTAATTTTAAGGGTTAGGAGAAATAAAGACCTCATAACTTCCTAAATTCAGTTTTATCTGGTGGAGCTCTACTGATATAAACTTATGTCACTAAGCTTTCTAGGGGACAAGAAGCTTTTCTCTGTGTGGCTGCTGTTTTTGTTTAAAATGGGTCACATGCCCAGGAATGCAGTCAAATTATAATGGTGACTAAGTGCCGGAAAGCATAGGAAAGGGGAGGGAAGGGTGAGCAGAAAAAAAGGAGCCTGAGGCTATGGAAGGAAGGCTGGGAAAATGAGAATCTGGCCAGACCCCAGGGCCAGGTTAGAGATTCCTACACCCATTAACAACCACAGGAGATGTTTATTTACAGGGAGGTAATCTTTGTTTTAAAAATGACAGAGTGCCCAAAAATCCCACTTTTGGGAAGTGGATCAAGGGCATAATCAGGATGGTAGAAGGGAACTGGTTCTGATCTCTTGAGGATCTTCCCTTCATCCCTATAAATCTGGGAACAATGGATCTTGAGAAATGAATGGGGGATAAACTCTTAAGTCTAGTTAGTGGTTCACAACCCCTAGTTATGAAGGAGAACTTCAAGAGTTTCTTCTTGTACTTTTCTGATCTTTCCTACCTAAACAGCTCCACCAAGGATATTGAATAATTGAGTTTATGATATGAGAAAGATGGAAGTTAATGCTGCCTTTTCCTTCCCTCCCTCTTTAATCCACCCTGGATCATAAAAGCAAGACAGATGTTGAACAGCTGCTTGAACTGAATATGTTCATGTAGACTCTGAGACCTTGGTCTCAGGTCTCGGTGGTACCTACCTTTTATCACCTCTTGAGCTGTGTTGATCTTGGCTTTTCCCAGCTTATCCCAATAACTTTGATTTGTATCCCAGCAACTGCTTATGGACTGTAGTCTCTCTTTTAATAAGTTTGTCTGACTGTGAATAGAGAATTTTCCAGCAATGTGGTGGAATCCTATCCTTTGGTGAGCTGCTGCAAAATAAAGTCTGTCTTGGCGCTTGTGTGCATCAGGTGGTTATACAGATGAATGAATTTTATTTTTAGTTTGAACATATCTTGATTTCTAATTATTGTATCTGGCTATGTGATTGTCAGGTAGGTCAGGGTCTGGAGCAGTTTCTTTACTGGTCTTCTGTCTAGACATACTCTCCTGGCTTCTAGTTTCAGTGTTCTCCTGACTAGTGTTTCCTCCATCTGTTCTTGGGTGGTGGTGTCCTTATGTTAACTGGTTTAATTTAGTCTCTATTAGAAAAGTGATGTCCTCTTTCTCTGGTTGTTCTGGTAGTTTCTTTCCATGTCGTCTTGCTTTGATTACATTTTGTTTCAACCTGTGTTGCATTCAGTGTACTAGATCAGGTCTTGATCAGATTTAAGGCTTGTACACTAATGATCATCAGGGATGGCTTTCCATGCTGATAAGTACCCGCTCTGCTCAGTGTTCCTTTCTTGTCAACTCTTAGGAGTGTACTTGCTCTAGTGTGGCTCAGGCAACACCCGTGTTTGACTGCTCATCATTTGTGGAACCTGTGACCAGCTTGAGTTTATTTGTTGTTCATGCAGCATCAGTCTCAGTTGTTAATCCCATCTCTCTTCTGTCTGCAGAGCACCTGGCATTCCAGTGAAGGAAAGGGTGAAAGTATCTCAGAACTGGAGGCACGGACACTGCCGGAGGGAGACAGTGCTGAAATGGAAATGCAAGCAAGTGGCTCCTTTATCTTCTGCTTTGTTCTGTGTCAGCTGCTGCAGTTTCTTGGTTTTTTGTTTGTGCCCTGAAATGAGACGTTTCCTGCTCCTTGTAAGACCCTGTGGATCACAAGCGATGTTGCTGGCCTGTTTTGGGTGTTGCTGGCTAGCCGGATGTGGGGTAACTGGAGTTTCTGTCTTGCCCTAGAGATTCACTCTGATAGTCAAGAGTTACTTTCTTACTAAGAGCTTGAATTTATCATTATTCTGATCTGTGCAGTTCTAGCTGGATTTAGCAATCTTTACTACAGGCTTTAAGCTGTTATGTTCCTATCTATCTGTTGCTGTATACCATGAGCAGTTTTCTGTCTTGCTCTCACAGTGAACATACCTTGATCCCAGATGTGAACTTGTCCCCTCAGAATACTTGTCTCCTGTGCTTTATCATGGCCCCTGATTTGGATGCACGAATCTGAAATGCTAATTGCTGTTCTTCTATCTCATGCTTCCTCACTTCCTTCACTAAAAAAAAAAAAAGTACATTTGACATTAATGAGAGGAGATTGTTGTTAAATTCTTTATTGCAAAGGTGTACTCAGCTTTCAAAGCAAAGCATAAGATAGGTTTCTTGTCTGAACAGCACATCCACATTTTCAGCCTTCACATCATCAGACAGAAGGAAAAATGAGAAAGACTATGGTTTGGTAGCTGCTGAAGAACAGGGACCTTCTACTGAGCTTTTCATGCTTTTTGTGCTGTGTAGATTGAAGTGGAGGATAATGTGCCACTGCTTGTCTAAAGTCCTGGGAACAACTGTAATGAGCAGAGTGGGTTTTGGTGCAGGTTGTATACCTGCCTTTGAAGTGCTTGCAACCATCTGTGAAGACAGGCTCTGTGGATATTAGAGATCATTACTAAACCAGCTTCCCAAGTGAAAAAGCAAGGACTGATTTAATGAGGTCACCATCCAAATGGCATACTTTAATTTTCGTTTGTTCTTCTTCAAATTTGTTGCATCTCCTTATGAAAAAGCCATAGAAAAGGTAAAAAGCTAAACTGCAGCAGGAGGAGAGCCACAGAAACTGGCTGTAGCCTAGGTAAGCTGGATATTCACTTGCTTTTAGAGGACTGTGTAGGAGTGGAGGAAGGAAAAGGAAATCAAAGCTTGCCTTTTAAAACCAAAGCTGTTGCTCCAGAGATGCCTCTTACTTTTTCCATGCATATGACCAAGTCCCAGATGAACATTATAACCTATCTTCACCTGCTTTATGTGACTAAAAGCCTGTTATTGGAGACAAATGCAGGCAAGCAGGAACCTTCTATTTGATAAGCAATCTTGCCCTCTTGCTTGTTTCTAGTTCCAAATCGTGATGTTATGAGGAGTAGCTGTGTGTAATGGCTCTGCTGACAAAGAAAATCATGACCTCTGAGGATGAATGATCTGCAAAAAAGAGGGAGACAGTTTTTTGAGAAGCCCCCCTGCTTTCAAACCAGTTTGTTCCTGAATAGTTTGAAAATTGAAAGGCTGCTCTGTGGAAAGGCTCTGATTTTGCTCAAAGTTTACATGGTTATTGGTGCACTCGGCAATGTCTGCAGAGTGGAGAAAATTTCACACATCCATGCCCTGTAGGACAGACCCCATGACTTTTTGGATATGTCAAAGCCAGATGCAGAAGGCATATTTGCTGATTCTCTGGTGGCTAAGAACAAAGAGCTCACTGCCTAAGTGTGCACTGTAGCCTGTTCTGGTTTTTGTATTTTGATTTTGTTTCAAGTATAAATAAGCAAACTTCTTGTGATGACAGACTTGATTCAGACATTGCTGGAGTGTCTCCTTCTCTTCTTGGTCTCCCAGGAAGTGAAACATATTTTCCACATGTAATATCAATCTTCAAAATACTTTGGAACAGCTCCTTTAGCAGTCCACTGCCCTTGGCCTGGCATCTGTCTGTAGGAACCTGCCGCTGTGCCATAGACAGCATGGGGCAGAAAGGGTATGTATGCTCTTCTGAAAGACAGGTAGAAATCAAGAGATTGCTCTTCAGTTATTTTTGCTGAGAGGTGGAAGAAGTGTAAATTTAGAAAAATACTTCCTCTACATGATGAACACAAAGTGCGTGAATAGCTTCAGACTTATCCTGCCTCTTTACATATCAGCATACAGAGGATGCAAGAGGTGGAAGACTTTCTGCCTCTAGGAAGACGTGTGTTATTTGATGTGACTCACTCAGATACCTGTGAAACACTGGCAGTTTTGTGGTCTCTGCTGAGCATCAGTAAATAATGTGCAGAATCAAGACTGACTGACTGTCTGCATCAGGAGCCTCATATTGAAGGCTCTGTTGGAAATGCTCAGCATAGCTCACAAATGCCTGATAGCCTAGTTTCTTAGAAAGTGCAGGGCTCATGAAGAGGGGTCAGGGAGCCTTAAGTATGTCCTATCTGAACTCAGTAGACACTTGGCCATCTTCTCTTTCAGAGATTCCATGCTTCCTTTTCCTAAGCTCTTGGTTAGAAAAATGCCAGCTATGCGATCTGCTTTGTATGTTGCTGGAGAAGCTTCACTTCTTAGTTGTGCTACTATATTAAGCCCTGCTTTTGCATGCGACCAGCAGCTCCAACTTCCCAGTTTTCTTGAGTGGGCATTTGCTTTTGTCGATACATTTGCATATGCAGTCTGTTTGGTTTTTTGCTTTCTGTCTGTGATGTGTGAACTTGTTTTATTTTCTTCTGCCTGTTCATTCACCCCCGTCCTCATTTCAGCAGGGATAGAGATAATTTTCTTCCTAGTAGCTTCCTAGCTTTCTTCCCAACCTGCTGTCTGTTTGCAGTTTGATGCCCTGGATGGAGCTGGATGGCGAGTACCTCTACCTGTCTCAAGCAGAGAACATCCAGGCCTACAGGCTCTGTCCCGACGGTGCAGGTTTGCAGCGTCACCCTCAGACTATCTTCTCTGGCCACCAGGAGGACGTATGTCGCTTTGTTCTTGTCAACTCCCACATCGTCAGTGGAGGGGGGTAAGTTGGGTGAATGAAGAAGCCCAAGGAGTGTGGCAGCGAAGTTGGAAAGGCTCTGTGTAACTTCAGCCCAGAGCAGAGGGGTCAATATTGCTACACCGTGTCCTCATGTTTGGCTGTGTTCAGCTTCCTCTCATTAGTTGGTTCTGTCCTGAAAAAGCTTCTACTGTAGCAGCAGAGGAGCCGAGTCTTGTGCTGTTGACCTTATCAAGTGTCCTTTTTTCTTTTGAACTTGTGTATATATCCATAGGATTGTTGAATCGGGATCAACTGATCAGACAATCCTGACTGATGTGCAGTTTTCATTTCTGTCCCTGTTAGAATCAGGGTAGCCTGACTATGTTCTGTTACTCAGAGCTGCTGGTTAACTGGGACTGCAGTAGTGCATAAAGCTTTCTAGAGCCAAGTGTATGTTTATTAGAAACACTGATATAATTGTGGAGAGGGGGAAAAACTGCCAAGCATTCCAGAACACACACACTTCTCCAATTAATTTTGCATATGACTGGCCTTTTTGAGTTACAGCAAATAACAGAACTGTTATTTACAAAGTTTTAGCTATTAATATACATGGCACTTAGCACAGAATTGGGAGATGCAAGCATGGCTGTCTGCCCTGGATGTCTTGAGACTCTCCCCTCTGAACTGTAGCCCAAAATTAAGGTGAAAACGAAAGCATGCATTTAAAATTCCAGTAACTGTATTGGTTGAAAAAAAAAAAGTCTAAATGTCTTTCTAGTTAATCCAAAGCACAATACACTGCACGGCTGCTCTGGTATGAATGAAAAGCTAAGACTTGGACATGGGTGAGAATGACCTCTCACTTGTTCCCTTACTCCAGTCATTGAGCATCCAGCCAGGATTCTGGCAAGCTCAAAGCAGTAGGAGGAGGAATGGCTGCTCTGCTAGTTTCTGCAGCTTAACACCAAGTGGAGGGTGGAAAGACAGCCAGGAAAATTTTCATGTGCAGCAGATCAGGCTTTGACTGGCCAGATGTGGGATTGTAAGAGAACAGGTGATGTGTGAGGAGTGGAGGGTTAATAATGCTGCATGAATTTCAGCTCCCATCAGAGATCATTTCTGGTCTTTCTGTGGTACTCCTAAGCACTAATGGAAGGTGCATGTCCAAAGGAGATGCAGCTGATACAGACTCCCTGCCTGGGGATTTGTTTTTCAGAGATGGAAATATTGTCCTTCACAAGATCCATGGCTCATACAGCATCAAGTTTTCTGCACATGAACAGGAGGTGAACTGTGTGGACTTCCAAGGTGGCCTCATTGTCAGCGGCTCCCGGGACAGAACAGCAAAGGTGAGCAGTGATGTTCCAGCAGCTGCAGGTGCTGCTGCAGAGGTGACCTCAGAGGTCCTGTGCCATGAATGTTTAAGTGTCAGCAGAACTGTTGTGAGCCCTGTCTTGTGTGTCTGCAGGAGGAGTGCAGGGCATCTTGCTGTAGGCTCATGTCTCTGAAAAGCTGCTTACTGTGCCAAGCTTTTAAGAGATTTGGTACTCCATGATATCAGGTGCTGGTTAAAACTAGGAGGTGCAGAAGGCAGCAGCTGATGTTTTTCTTCTTTTGCTGTATGTCTGTCTAACACTGCAGTGGAGATCCATGCCAGTTAGTCTGAAATTCGCTGTATCTATCTCAAGCACATCCTTGCTTTGTGATGCAGTTCTACTTGACGTGTTCTCTATTATATATTTGATCTCTTCAGGGGATAGCATGATGTCTTTTCCAAATCTGTGGGGTTGTGTTTTATTTATCTGTGCTTTGTGGCAATGTGGTGGATATTATTATTATTATTATTATTATTATTATTAGTGGTTCGGAGTTTTTTATTGTTTGAGGGTTTTTTTAATCATTCTTGGTTTGCAAACCAGGAGTGAAGTTAGACTATGAATACTGTTAGCTCCCATTTTTTCATTTCCAGCTGGCATCACTGAATCCTGTCACAGAATTTTTGACTATTTATTTTTGAGGCAGGAGCTTGTTGATTTTTGTCCGTCTGGATCTGGTTGGGAGTGCTCTATTCCTACATGGACCTGGAGAGTTTTTCTCCTGAGCTGTAACCAGCTCTATTTTAGCAGTTTCGGAAACTCCATGTAGGTGTCTTGCCCTTGTTCTGCTTGTGTGATGCAGTACCTGTAGCATCTTCACAACCACTTGTTTCATTGTTGGAAGCGGTTGCTGTATGTTGAAAGCTTTGGCTTTTGCTCACACGAGGCTGATGGATACTCTTGGTCCCTGGTACATACTGTAGAGTATTAATGGAGGGAATAGGAAAATCTGCTATTCCTGTTTTACGAAAGGAGAAGGTGGGGCAAAGAAACGCTTTCAAGGATTTATAGAAGTGTGGTAGTGGGCAACTCTCTGACAGGCTTCTGAGCAGCATGACCCTATCTATTCTTGTTTGTCCTTCTGGATGGGTGTACTCCTGGGTAAAATCACTCCTAAGGCATGTTCAGATGCAAAGGGCGCTGTTGGGGATGCTGCTTGCCCTCTGGGAGCAAGGCCTCAATGCTGCTTTGTCTCACACTTAAGCAGGGCTGCTTCTCTATGTTCTGTGGAGCCCCTTTGCTGGGAGAGTGCCTTCTTGCTGCTTCCTTGGCAGCCAGAGGACAGACCTCCCCGACCTTGAGAACAAATTCCTGAAGGCCAGAGAGGAATTTAAGGCTGTTTTTCTTGGAGCTAGTGTGCGATCTTGCCCACCCAGTGCTCCCCACAGCATAGGCTCTAGGGATGTTCACTTCTTATTTTTTATCGTCTCTTTTGTAGGCTGCCTTGTTTGCATGAATGAGACACTTGGAGGGTGGAAGGGAATCCCTACCAGCCTTTTAAAGGGGCTCTAAGTGTCTAAGCTATTGAGGGCTCTGCTGAGTGTTGATTAGGACTAAGCCCTGAAGAGCTGCTAATGTACATTCCTGTGTGATAGGCACCAGATAGTGTGCTCTGAGCAATATTTTTAACCTGTAGGAGATAGGGATGCCTTAAAAGAGTTAAGCTTTTCTGCTGCCTTTGCTGACACTAGGTGCTAAATTCCCCGCTGACAAGAATAGCCTGCAATCCTGGGCATTATCAACAAACAAACAAATAGGGCACTCCCAGCTTTGAAGTCTTGAAGTAAAACATTGGGGGTGGGTTACAGAGAACTCGGGGTCTCCAGCCGTGTGGGCCAAGAATGAAGGCAAGGTGGAGAAAATGAGGACCACAAACAGAGGTCCCAGCAAGAATCTGGGGGGGTTTATTAGGACCTAGAAACAAAAGGGTGCATGGTGAACTGGTGAAAGGGGATGTGCATGTATGCACTGATGAGGGAGGGAAGAGATTCTCTCACATTGTCAGTGGCAAGGGGGGTCTATTTGAAAATAGCCTGGGATACATGTAAGAAACTTGGTTGAAAGAGGGTGGGTTCATAAAAAAGCTGTTTTTACAGGATAGCAAATGATTAGTTTTATAGATAACGTGAATGGAGATTTTTCAGGGCTGGTACGAAGTCTTTCCACCTGTTCAGTTGAACAGCAGAGATTTAAACAAATCCCACTTCTTGTTTATTTAACTACAGAAGATAAGTCGCTGTGGTGAGTGCTGCCCTAGGGAGCATGTGGTGATAGGGGTGCTCTATCTGTTACCAGTGGGATGGAAGGTCATACTCATAAGCTGAATCTTTGTGTGACTGTAAGTGCTTTTTTTTTGCAAGTAATAGAAGGCTCTGCTCCTCAGAAATAAGTCACGGGAATTAGGGGGAGCATCTCAGGGAAGGTGAGCCTGTCAGTTTTGGCAGCTCTTCCGGCACATTAACAGTGTGCGTCCTACCATCTGCACCTTCTGGGTGAATGCGGCATAACATGCATCTCTTTCTTTAGGTTTGGTCCCTGGCCGCGGGCAGAGTTGGGCAGTGTCTACATACGGTGCAGACAGAGGATCGAGTGTGGTCCATTGCTATCAGCCCATTATTAAGGTAACTGAGATCTCTTTATTCCCAATTTCCAACAGAAAGAAGTAGAGGATTTGGATAGGCTGTGTCCACAAGTCTCTCCAAGGCACCAGTGTGATGCTTCCAGGGACTTGATTTGAGTGGAGGTGCTTGTGCCTGCAGTCGGAGCTCAGAGAAGAGCGTGTGGTCTTTGTTCCCCATAACAGCAGAGTGATCCACTCTTAAAGAGGCTGTCAAAATGGCCCCAAGTTCCTATCTCAGGTGGGACCTGTTTGTTCGTACTTGCAGAGCAAACTCTCTGACTTGCTAATTAGAAGCATTGAACCAGATCCTCTTGACGTGTTCTGTGCTGAAAAGGTGCCAGCTTGTATTTCCGTTCTCTGGCAGAAAAGATGCCAACCAAAAAGGTCCCCACCTGGGAGCTGTGTGCAGTGGTTAGGGCTTGGTTTTCTTTGAAAATGTGGGAAAGATTGAGGTGGAGTTCAGGGATGAAGTGTTCCAGCCTGTATTGCTTGTAGCCCTGTGCTTCTAGTATGGGCATAATGCTACAACTACAACTTCAGCATGGGAGGCAAAAGCAGTACCTACACCAGTGTCTTCTACGGTGTTTTTGAAAGTCCTCCCATTCTTGAAGTGAAAATCTGAGAAACTTAAACTCTCACTGTAAAAATCTGTCTCTTTAGTTCATGGTTAAGCATGGTTAAGAACTTCTACATGCAACAGAGATTCTTCTCAGCCTTCCTCAAGGAAGAGGGCAAGAAGAGCTGTTGTTGCTGCCCATGTGCTGGCTGCAACTAGTGCATTTTAGGCTTGTGCAAAACCAAAACACTTCCTGTAACTTCTGTCCTCATTAGATTTCCAGGCTCGTTTTTCAGTCAGCAGAAACTTAGTGGTACAGAGCTAATGGCATTATCAGGGAAATGACCCTTGAGACCTGCTATGATTTTGCCATTCCCTCATCCCGTTACTGTTTTTGAAGAAGTGCCATGTGCATTAATGCTGCTGCAAGTTGTTAGAAGCCCTTTGCTGTCTTCTATGCTGCAAGGGCTCCTTTTCTAGGAGTCAGGCTCTGGCTGTAGCACTGTGACTGGTTAAAGCCCAGTGGCATGCTGCTTCCTACTCCTAAGTGATGACCTACTGAGGTGGCCTCTTGTCAGGACAGTGTTCCTCTCCCTGGTGTGCATGCTTGTGCACGCTCTCTGTCACAATATTTACCCACAGTCTCTCCACCCCTCCCTTTCCTCCCTGCAGAGTGATAAATGGGAGGTGGTGGAACAGCCACCCCATGGACAAGTGGGCTTACATTGTGCACTCCTGTTTTCTTATGAGACTGTGGACTGTACTAGCCTTCCCTGTTAGCCCTCCCTAACGCCTCCTCCCCCTCCTTGTGTTTTTGGGGGGGACAGGGTGGGTGGAGAATTAGAGCCAATTAGCCACGTCATTAATTCTTCAATTTGACGGCTGATATAGCAGGGCCTGAAACACGCTGCTGACCTCGTATAATGGGAACCCTGCTCCTTCACGTATGGACGCTGGGAGAAGTTAATTAAAATTCCACAGAGAAAAGGTGTCGGCTAACCTATAAACCTGTCGCTGCTCAGAACAAATCGCAGCCATCCCAGAAGAGAGAGGGGATCAGAGCAGGAGGGCATGTGGTGGGGGAGGGCCAGGGCAAGGGGCAGGGGAGATGAATTTTTCACTAATAGGTTTTATTGCTTGCTGTCTAATGAGGGCGAGTATCAAAAAGATAATATCTGGTTTCTAGCAAGGTCTGGTTTGGGGAACTCTGTGGTTTCTGTTTTATCTGCAAGAGCCCATATTTCACCCATACCCTTTCCCTATGCACTTGTGTGTGAAGCTTTTCCTCCCTTGCAGTCCCCATCCTTCTTGCCAGAGCTTGGATGCATTTGTTTCTCAGTGAGGCTGAACATGGCCTTATAACCTCCACTTCCTCCTAAACGTCTGATGTGTCCTCCTAGTTCTCCCTTCTCACTTGTGCTGGTATAAACTGAGAGCTCCTCCATATGAACAGATAGTTCTGCTAGTGTCAACTGCTATAGAATCAGGCTCCAGCCATTTAAGTATTGTAGCCTATTGTTGCTGAGAACCCACCTCTGTGGACACATACTGCTCAGAAACAGCCCAAAGCAGTTGTGTGCAGTGGGGCAGGAGCAGGAAGGGCTCCACTAGCTCTAGCTATTCAAAAGTGCTTCAGAGAGGCTGCAGCTTCCTGACCTGCTGGTTTGCCACAACTAAGACTTTCTGGAGTAGTCAAAGTTGTAGACCAAAATTTGCTTTTCAGTGATATCTTCTTCCGTGTGAAGGTTTCTTAGAAAGTATCCCTTGTGCACCTGACCCCGTAGTCCTGCTCTGCTGGCTGCTGCTCTAATGGACAGTGTCTGTTCACCCAAGCTAAACTTCAGAGACTTGGGCTCTTAAAATGTAGCTCCTCTGGCTTCTGGGATCTTTCTTGGATGTTCTGCTTTGATTTGTCCACAGTTTTCCTGTGTTACTACAGAGATCCTTTTACAGATGTGCTGAGCTAAGTAGGAGGCTGCTTTGTTCTTCATGTAGTCATCGGCGGGCTGGATGCTTGGAGGGTCTGCAAGCAGAATCATGCCCGTAAGGAAGATTAAGTAGGGTAAAAGGCAGTAAAAGGGTCGTACTGGATCTTCTCTTCTTACTGTGCAGGGGAGAACTGCACTTAGTCCTTTGTCTAACCTCTTCAGCCATGGAAGTGCCTTGACATCCATGTGTGTTACTGGAGCTTCCTTGCTTTGGGGATCCCTAACAGTGCCCTGCAGGGTAGTGGGGATAGGGCGGGCATTGTTCTGCTTCTGGGTTTTCAAGAGGTCTTCTGCAACCAGTTGTGCTGGTTGTTGTGCTTGGGCCAGCAGGTCCCACATTTCTTGTCACATCAGGGACTAGAGAAGAGTCTGAGAGTACACAGGATACTTAAAATAAGGACATCTCAACTCGTTCTGGTTTAATTTGTCTCCAAAGCTGTTCTCTGTGGATTAGTAAAATGCTGTGCTTACAGAAAGGCTGTGTACCCTAAACCATGTTTCTCAGCTGCTTGTAATCCCCTTCCCCCTAAGTTCCTTTGCCTTCTGAACCCTACGTCATGCAGATATTAAACTTTCATTTACTGGTGCTTACTGCAGTGACTTATGTGTGCTCAGGGACCAGGGCAAGCCTGCATGCAGCGGACCCATTCAAATGTGCAAAGTGAAGCAAACCCAGGGGTTTCTTGTGGAGTAGTGGCACCTTTATGCTTTGTGATTCCCTGAGGTGGCAGTAGCCAGGGAAAAGAAGTTACCACTGTACACTGTTTAATTTGAGGGATAGGTTTATGGAGAGAATAAGGTCCGATTGCCTGGCATTTATGGCTGCAGAAGCATAAGGCTTATGATATATGTTATACTACTGAAATGTTCCTTTATTTAGGGGAAAAATAGTTGCAAGTTTTTTTTTTCCCTAATGAAACTGGAGGGGGAAGGAAGAAGTGGACCTTGATGTTAAATTCATTATTAATCTTGGATTCAGAAATTGTTTGGTGTTGGATCAAAGTAAGTATTCAAATCTAAGATGGCTTCTCCTGCTGGGTCTGGCCACAGACACTTGCTATTTAGATTTACAAATACTTATCATGAGAACTCGTCTTCCCGTGTTGTACTCAAAGTATATCAGATTTTATACCAAGAAAAGAGATGATGGAGGCACAAAAGTGGTTTTCAATGTGCAAATATAGATAAAGAGCTAGGAAACCTTTGGGGCAATTGGGGGCAACATCAGGCAACCACGATGTGCCCTGTTTTGCCAGAGATAGGCTTTGGGTGTGTAAGCCCAAAAGATGGTCTCTCCTTTTCCAGATGTGTCATTGGTTTACTGCAGTGACCTCTCCTTGTGAATGTTGCCTTGGTGAAGTGCAGGTTTACTCCAGAGAGGAGGAAAGTTTGTGCCAAAGACTAGGTATCTGCATTGGATGTTTAATTTAAAGGAAAATGAGTAGGTCTGTGAGCAGTTGAATTTAAGAAGCCAGGCTTGCTCTCTCTCTTCTACTTATGCAGCATTGTAGTTGAGACCTGACTCCCATTTTAACATGCTGATTTGTATCTCTGTTAATATAATTACTTCTCCCATGGAATATTATGGGGAAGTAATATCCAGGGAGACCTCTGCCCCTGTGGACAACCTCAGACAAATTGTAAAACATACCCAAAACTTGCTGGGGAAAGGAAGGCAGAGAAGGGTTACTGACAGGCACCTTGACTGAATGGGCCTCTCTTCCACTGGGGACAATCAAAATGATTAATTTTGAGGGCTTCTTTTTAATGGTTATCTGAAAACTTTTTGTGAAAGTAAACCAATCTGATCTTGCAGATTGCAAAACAACCCACTTGAGTTAGAGAAACTTTGCGGTGGTTTTAACTATAATTGAAGCCCTAACGTGTAGCAGTTAAAATGTTTGATAATGTTCCCCCCCTCCATTTCCTGCTCCACTTTTATCAGCAGATATCCCCTACTGCATATCAAGATGAGCTGTTGGCTGTAGTGGTGCTCTGTTGTGACCTAGCTTTGTGCAGTTAACCTCTCTGAGACTGCTAGGAGTTAGGACAAGTAACTGGGGTTTATTCTGGTTTGTGCATTGCCAGCAAAATATCAAACAGCAATAGCTCTGCTGTCCTTGGGGATCCCTGTAGAGCCTGGTTGGTTTGAATAATTGAGAGGGGACTCTGACCTGCAGCTGTTTCTTAAGCAGGGGCAGGAAGAACCTGCTCAACTGTGAGATCCCTGGGTGGACTTGCAGAGTTAGTGGTGGCATTAACTACCATCTCTTGCTGACCTTGGGGAGTGATCTGGATGCCGATTTCTAGGTATATGCAATAGTCATAACTGACTTGGTGCTCTTTCACCCCAAAGCTGAAGAGCAGGAAATGAGTATCAGTTTCTCCCCTCTGGAGCTAAAATGACACCTGTGTCTTATCCATGTGCCCTGACTGTTCCCTTGATGTTGGGAGGAA